ATATGCACTGAAGGGCTCTCAAATCTTCTCAAGAAAGCTGTGGATAATAAAGACATAACTGGTATAAAAATCTGCAAAGACGGCCCCATGGTTTCACATTTATTTTTTGCAGATGACTCCCTTTTGTGTTGTAAAGCTAGCAAACAAGAAGCTCAGAAGGTCAAGGAGATAATCTAGATGTATGGCAAAGCCATGGGACAGGTAGTAAATTTTGACAAATCTGCCATGTTCTTTACTAGAAATACTCCCATGAGGCTTAGAGGGGAAATTAGTGAAGTGTTGGATAACATGAGGGAGGCTCATAGTGGTAAATATCTAGGCCTTCCGATAACCATTGGGAGAGCTAAAAACTAGGTCTTTGGGTATTTGATGAGTAACATTAGTAGTAAACTTCAAGGCTGGAAACAAAAGTTGCTTAGCCAAGGGGGTAAAGAGGTGTTGATCAAATCAGTAATCATGGCCATGCCTTCATACATTATGTCCTGCTTTAAATTACCCAAAGGTTTGTGTAAGGCCATTAGTGCTAGAATTACAAGGTACTGGTGGGGTGGGGGGAATTTGAAAAGAAGGTACATTGGGTGAGATGGAGCAAACTTTCAGAGGTCAAAGGGAAAGGGGGGATGGGTTCTAGAGACCTGGAAGCCTCCAATATGGCTCTGCTTGCAAAACAAATTTGGAGAATTATTATCAATCCAAATTTGTTAGTAAGCAAAGTCCTGAAGGCTAAGTACATGAAAGAGGAGGGCTGGTTAGGACAACAGCCACCTAACAATGCTTCTTGGTGCTGGAAAAGTATCACTACAAGAAAATTGGTTTTTAGTGACAAGCCATTTTCGTCACAAAAAAAGAAAAAGTTGTCACTGATAAGTTTTATTGACAACTTTCTAGTCATCACAGAATCGTCACTGAAGGTCCGTCGGTAATACTATACAGTGACAACCTTAAAAGTCGTCAGTGAATGATACTGTTCTGCGACAACTGGTGTCGTCAGTAATTGTTGTAATTTTAGTGGTGACATAATATCTTGTCAATGATGTACAAAGTAATGTCATCACTAAAACTAATCCATAGTGTCAACTAGTATAAACTAATTACTGACAACTTCTGTTGTCACTAAACACTTTTAAATTTCATAACAATAGGTGGTTGTCAATGGAGAAATCTAATTCAGTGACAATACTTTACCACAATGAAATTTGATGATTTTCCTGCTAAACTATATCTTAAAAATGAAAAAAAAAATGACAATGCTTTACTATTAACAAATGAAGGCATCCATTACATTATGAAATGCCAAAATATCATTTTAAGCATTCGAATATCATAATCAAGTTCAATAACACCATACAAATAGTTTGATAAGTGGTATTTGGCCTAAATTTCACATATAAGTCAATGCAGTTTTGCAAAACAAATCCAAGTCCCAAAAAAAATGTATTGTCGAAACATTTCTTGAGCATAAGATTTTCTCTGTAGTTCTTGAGTCAATTAACAACTCTTGCTGCTGATCTTCCAAAAGTCTATAATAAGCAACATATCTGCAGTGAAGTACTTCAATTATTAGTAGGTGATAAGAAAAACTTGAGACAAGAAAGAGAAAGAATTTGCAAGAAAATAAGCTAAATCATTTCTTTTAAGTATCATCTAGATAGTGACTAAATAAGAGCAAAGTAAGAGATAAAGCACTTAGAACTTCCGACAAACAACTAGGTATAGATATAAAAATGTGATTGTACTAATTCAACCGTATAAATTCAGTAACTTCCGAAAGTTTTGCAAACTTTTTTCAAGTAAATATCAAAGAGAACAAACCCAACATTACTGACCATAGCACCCTCAATAATTATCACTAATTCTTTGGAACTGACCAATACATCTGATTTTTACTAGGGTGTTTTAAAGTATTGGAAATTAAGGGAAAAAATAAACAAATGGATTTTACTACTGTTCGCTCAATAAAGATAGCCTTATCATCTCCGACTTGATCTTGGATTGCTTATATGACTTTTGCATCATTATGAATGTTGATCAACTCTTGCAAAATATTTGAAGCTATCTAAAGTTTAAAGTTAAAAATATTGGTTATTTTAGGTTCACTGATTTGAAGGCTAGTTTTCAAAGCATTTCGTTAGTCAGAGGCCTGCTCAATCTAACATGCACATTAATCAAGAAGAAAGTCAATTGATAGGAATATCTAAGTAACTTTTCTTTGAGACATACATTTAATATTGAATCTGAAAAAAAAATTCTGTTGGCTAATATACTTGACAAAACATAGAACTTTGGATTATACTGAAGAAACATGATAACAAGTATGTAATTCTCACAGTCATTTTTGGATACTTAAAGTAACTTAGAGAAAATATGAAAACAAATTTTCTCATTCAAACTCAAAATGAAAATCAGCCCAAATTCACTAGTTCTGAAAATAAATGAAGAGAGTAAATTATGTCCAAAACAGAACAACAGATTAATGGTGGCAAAATGTGCAACAACACATGAATGGTGGAAATATATATATATCTATTGATATAGGAATTGATCAGTTTCAGAGAGAGATACATCCAGATGCTATCACTAAAAAAGCTTTTACTCATTTGTGGCAGAAGGGTTATCTCCTTCCCCAATCAAAAGAACACGTGAGTATAAAAAGGTAATTACCTAAATAAACTAACAAAGTGGATTGGATGTCAGAGATACATACAAAATAACTTGCTTCACTTGCCTCCCATGCAATATGATGTCCAGTCCTCAAAAAAATTTCAAGCAACATCAGTAGTCATGATTAAATTCTGCATTTCTCTGCACTCAACCAACTTGTTACCTTCCATGAGCTCTAGATCACACACATCATCTCTGAGGAAGATATCTCACGCATGAGCAACTTCATGGTTTCTATTGGCCCATGCTGACACAAAGGAAATCAAAATAAGCACATGTCACTCGTAAAGTCATGCACATCAATGATCAATCAAACTAATTCCAAAATGTGTATTTTGGGATAAGGATTATAAGAATTCTTACCATTCCCTGTCCAATAAGTCTAAAAATCAACTTGTAAAGTGACTGTTCTTGGGTCCAGGCAATTTAAAATATTGGGTCAGATCAGTCTCCTCTTCCAATAGTGCTACTGCACAATTAAAGGGACTGTTCTTGGGTCCAGGCAATTTAAAATATTGGGTCAGATCAGTCTCCTCTTCCAATAGTGCTGCTGCACAATTAAGTGCACTAGAATGTACACACTTATAGAGGATAGAGTATGCCAGTCAAGAGCCATTTCTATTAAAGTCCTCAATAAGTTTATCAACTTGGCTTCTTATAAAATCTAAAAGATCATCCTTCTTATCCACCGCAATTAGCTTCTCAATATGTTCCTGAAAAGGATCAATATAACTTCTGTCCATCACCACCTGATATTTTTGAATTGATATTTTTGAACTAGCTTAACAAAGTCAAGGCTAAAAAACTATAGAATTCTTCTATACAATCATGCAGTAAATGTTTATACTCACAAGTATATCTTCATCCTAAGTATCACTTAGGTACCACTTCTGCAAACAACAGCCAAACATTAGATCCAACTAAACCTTATAAATTATCCCATCCATAAGAAAAGTATATACAGATACGGATACTCGTTCACATATTAAAACAGTAATAGACAGGAGAAAGAAAGCAAGCGGGTCAGTGAAACTCACACCAAAAAGCAAAAAAGGAAAAAGAAAGTTAAGGACTTTCTGTTGGTCAGTAATGGAGAAAAATGCTGAAATAGTGAACTGATTATGCAATAAAACATCAACAAACCAGAAGCCCAACAAAAGTATAGATCAGACAGCAGCACCAAAACGTCTAGTTTAGACTAGAAGGGAAAGACTAGCTTATTGCTAAGGAATGGAAAGAGATATATCCATCAAATATGATGCATCAGGAGGGTATCAGCCACTACATAAAATCTATTCAATTTTTTTTTTCAGAAAAAAATTAAAAAAGCTAATTAATCATCAGGGAAGTTGAACTTAAGTCTTCAGAGATTGGCCTGCCTCTTTATACTTGCCACATGCCTCTTGAGACGATTACAAGACTAAGGACTAATCCATCTTCTCTTGGTTTTCCTTTAAAGGATCATAAATTATGCACAAAGATCCTATCTTTTGTTTCAAGCATTCATACTGTATGCAATTAGACATATGTATATCTGTCCAAGGGATGCAAAATAGATGGAGAGGACCCTAAAGGGTAAACAGCAATCGGGAAGATACTATTCCCAAAGAACACTTCAAAATCGCAGAATGAAATTAGGTAAGCTAAATTCTTCAATTATCCAAAGGACACAACCTTGTTTTTCAATGGTAGCCAAGCACGTTGAGATCAAACACAACTGTAAAAGCTAAGGATATAACTTTGTTTTCCACGGGAAGCCAAACAGTCATGCTCATGAATGTCTCCGAATTCTTCATCCCCCACATTGAATTCCTTCACCAAAAAAATTTTGCAAAAAATAAAATTACGGCAAATTTTGCAAAATTTTGCAAAAAGAGATGATTAAATCCATGACTCAAACTAGCCACCAAAAAATTTTGCAAAAAAATACTTGGGGAAAAAATTTAGGCAAATTAATTGGGGAAAAATTAGGGAAACAAGTAGAGACATGAGAGGACCTACCTAAGCATTGACCCTGTAGAACTGGAGGACGGCAAGCTTGACTTTCTTCTTCTTGTGCTTCATTTTCTTGGGCTTGGTGTAGGTCTTCTTCTTGCGCTTTTTGGCGCCACCACGGAGGCAGAGGATGAGGTGGAGGGTGGACTCCTTCTGAATGTTGTAATCAGCTAGGGTGCAGCCGTCCTCCAGCTACTTGTCGGTGAAGATGAGGCACTGCTGGTCTGGGGGGATGCCCTCCTTATCCTGGATTTTGGCCTTGACATTATCGATGGTGTCAGAAGACTCCATCTCAAGGGTGATGGTCTTCCTCGTCAAGGTTTTCATGAATATCTGCATCTTTGATGACGGCGACTGCTGCCTCCGTTGCTGCTAGGGTTCTGGAAAATGAAAAAATGTGGTTGAGAATAAAGGAGTTGACTAAGGGATTGAGAGTGTGAAGAGTACTGAAGCCATCTGGATGTGGGGAGCAAGAGTGGTTCCGCGCCACTTTTTTTCATTTTTAGTTTGAACAAATTTCTGGTACTGGTCAATCAAGACAATTCAAGTCAATTTTTAGCTTCAATTTTTATTTAAATTTACTAATGTATTTCTAATCACTACTTCTTAACATATTTATTAAAAAATTATAATGGATGAAAATTTTTTGCTAAATTCAAAGAACTGGTAAATGTACTCTTTCTCAAGTTGTAATAGTTTATATAGTTGTTCTAACTAGAAACTTTCATTAATTTTTTCCAATTAAAAACCTATTATTATTTGAGTAACTATGACTAGTTTAATAAATCATCAAATTTAAAAAAAAAATTAATTAATATTGAGGCTCACAATTAAATAAATGCATTGGAGATGTTCAAGTTAGTGATGATACTATGTTGTCACTAATTATGCTATAGTTTTATTGACAAAAATTGGTCGTCAATAAATATAAACAGTGACAACAATGAAAAGTTGTCAAAGAAAGTGGTAGAATTACTGACAACTTTTATCAAGTTGTCACTATCGCAAAACTCGCGCCTTCCAAGTCCCATGGCGCGAAGTAGTTTTGTGACGACAATTAAGGGTAGTCACTGAAAACTTAGCTGCTTTGAGTCAATTGTGACAACCTTCAATGTCGTGACTAAACAACCTCATTTTGTGACGACTTTTTCTCATCACTAGGAAATGTTGTCACTAATGACCTTTTTTCTTGTAATGATGCATAAAGGGGGAGAACTACTTCAATAGGGGCTATGGAAGAGAGTGGGAGATGGAAGGTCAGTGAAGATTTGACATGACAGATGGATACCTGGGTTGGCTGATGGAAGAGTAACTACAGTTAAACCAATAGGATGTCAGCTCGAGCTTGTTCATGAGCTAATAGAAGGGGGAAAGTGGAAGAATGATCTCTTGCAGCACTGGTTTAATGAAACTGATGTGAATCTCATTACTAATATCCCCCTTAGCTTATATGATAGAAAAGACAGGTTATTTTGGAATTATAGCAAGTCTGGGATTTACACTGTGAAATCTGGTTATGCTGTTGCGAAGGAGCAAAGTGAAAAAGGGAATCAAAGACTTGCACCTGATCCGGAAATTAGCTGGGAAGTTAGAAAGCATACAGTATGGAAAAGATTGTGGGGTTTAAATGTGAAGATGAAACTGAAACATTTCTTATGGAGATGTCTGCAAAATGGAATGGCCACAAATGAAGCTCTATACAAGAGACTTGGAACCAGTAACAAGATATGTTACTGCTGTGGGGAGGAAACGGAAACAATCAAGCACATTTTCTTCTTCTACCCAAAAGCTAAAGTGGTATGGAAGTTAGCTCCCGTAAGGTGGGAAGGCTTAGTTGCACTACAAGGTAAATTATGGAGATGGTGGGAAGCTGTGATGCAAGTAGCAAAGGAAACACAAGGAGTAGATAGGATCAGGCTTACGGTGAACCTTTTATGGCAGATCTAGAAAGCGAGAAACAAGTTAACATTCTAGTGTGAGGTAGTGGATGCAAAAGAAATAATTGACAAGGCACAGCAGGAATGGATAGATTACGATGCAGCAAATGAATCGGACACAAGAACAACTTCAGCTCCTGAAATGGAACGATAGGTCCAGCAGCAGTGGGAGCCTCCCAAGGAAGGAACAATGATGATGAACATAGACGCAGCAATTTCAGCTAAAATGGTCAGATCAGGTTTGGGGATCATTGCAAGGAACTGGCGTGGGGTGATAGTGAAAGTGAAAGGAATCACTGACAGGAGGAAAGGGGATGCAGCCACAGAGGAAACTCTAGCAATCAGAAGTGCGCTGGAAATGGCTCAAGGTGCAGGATGGACAAACATAGAAGTCCAATCTGACTGCAAGTACGTTGTGAGCCTCATCAATACGGACAATGTCCAGGAAGGTAGACTCCAAACTCTCCTGGAAGACATTGATGTCCTGAAGAAAAGATTTGAAAGTTGCAATTTCTCTTTTGTCCCCAGAACTGCTAATAGTTGCAGCCATGAGTTGGCGCAATTTGTAGTCAAGGCAACTAGAAATTTTGAATAGGAAAGTTCATTCCCAGCTTGGCTTTCAGCATTAGCTAGAAAAGATATGGGGGTAGTTACCCCTTTTTGTAATTAGCCCTTGTACTATCAAGTGTTAATATCTATAAAAATGTTATCATTTGTCAAAAAAAAAAAACACCGAAAACTAAAAATGACTAAAATACCCTTGACTGATCAGTAGTCATTTCCAGATTTTGGCAGCAGAAGTATACCTCTGTATTTTAGCTTTTTGTCTATGAAAATTCGATGTGCTCATAAGAAATGTAGCCTTTAGGTCTTAGCTTCAAAATTCTTTAAGGATCAACTTAATCTAATGTGTGTAGCTCAAGTTATAGCTGAAATACCAGAACATGTCAAAGCAGCCGATCTTTTCTTCATTGTTTCATAATTGCATTTCATACTTTGAACATTTTGTATTTCATGTTCACTTGAAATCACTTCAAATCATCAACAATCATGCATATATCTTCTCACTTCACTCCATTTGATGATTTAGTTATTAAAACTTATAAAAACATGAAGATTTCAACACTTAAATCCATAGAAATGCAATCTTTAATCACAAAATGTAAAAATCACTAGAAACCTAATTATTTAGATATAAAAATGACTAAAACACACCAAAAACTAAGCAAAAAAACACACTAAAATCATGCAAATTTGACACTTATCAGTAGCAATTTAGTTATGTGAAGAAGCAAGAAACAGAAGGTGGTTGCTCTCTCCAGTGCAAAAGCTGAGTTCAAAGAAATGGTCAAAGGGGTGTGTGAACTTTTTTAGCTTAAGAAGTTGCTTACCAATATTGGTTGTGCTCCAATTTCTGAGATGGATTTATTTTTTGATAATAAAATAGCCGTTGATATTTCTCAAAATCCAATTCAGCATGACCAAACTAAACATGTGGAGGTTGATCGATACTTCATTAAATAAAATCTTGAAAATAAAGTGATATGGTTTCCATTTATGAAATCTAAAAATCAACTAGTTGATATATGCATCAAAACTTTGCCAATTAAGAACTTCTACAACTCACTTGATAAGTTGGGCATATATGATCTCTATGCACCAACTTGAGGGGAGTGTTGGAGTGAGTTACAGGTATGTATTTTGAATTTTAAATTATATATCAATTAGCGATATGATAATGATAAAATAGGTTAGTTACCATTGATGAGGATAGAATACGTTAGTTATCATTTTTATTTTTGTCTAGGTTCATTACATCTTATTATGTTGTAAGTCTACATATAGGGCATATATCATTGTAACTAGTGTGTGAAATACAGAATATTTCCCCAAACTTTTTTCTTTTTAACATTACTACAGCTCTAAAATCCTTACTAGCCATAATTCCACATCCGGAAATAGAAGAAGTCTGAAGAGCACTTTTTGTTTCTATAGTAGACATAATTGAATTTGGAATGTATGTTAATGTTAACTTCTATAAACGAAAAAGAAACTAACCAACTTATGACATCGAATTAGGTTTGGAAGGAAGCTAACTTAACTGTAATTTCTAAAATGAAAATAATTCCCAACAAGAAAACCCAAAATAAAATTACATTTAAATTGAAGTTATCTTAGTGATATTCTATGTATATTAATTAATTTATCACACAAGGATAGTAAAACAAAGAGCAAATGCCAGGTAATAGATGATGCATAGGACTTCCCCATTGCGAGGTTAGAATGTTGTCTAGCAAGGTTACCAATTCCTATCTCCATTTCCACCAAAACATAACCAATGCCTCATATGCCATGCGAGGTTTTATCTATTCTCTTCCTTTTGTTATGATAAGAAAAGACTTTTCACTCAGATTTCCAAAGTTTGCCCACTTCCACAATCACGGAAGGAAGAAAATTGCCAATTTCTATGTGGAAATAATTGGATTCAAAATAAAGTAATGTTAATGTTAGTTAAAAAGAAGAAGAATAAAGCAAAACAACTTATGAAGTAGAATTGGATTTAGAATGAAGTTACATAAATGTTAATTTCTAAAAAGGAAAAAAAAATGAGACAAGCAAATCCAAATTAAAATTAGATCTGTAATGGAATTATGTTAATATTTACTCTAGGCATATCAAAATTTAAAATCCAAACAATTGAAGTTATGTTAATTTTCGTTCTAGGTATTTATGATATATAAATCGATAATGAATTAGTGATGACTGATGGCTTGCCCATCCCACCTCGTTGCATTGTCCTTTCTAAGTGATTGCATCACTATTTTGAAACTCGGGTCAGGCAGCAACTTGACCGATTTCAAGGATTAGATGTTAATAAGTTTAACTAATTATATAGGGATTTAAAATTTAGATAACTAGATGACGTCATAAATATATTTTAATTTATACATGTAATTAAACAACAAAAGAAATAACTATAAAATATTTTTTATGGCATTTTTAAACTTGAAAGGAAAAGTGATGAGTTTATAACTAAATTCATAAGACCTATTTGACAAAATATAGAAAATAAGATTGTAATAACTTAAAAATAAATTCATGAGAGCGTTTATATTTGTCTAAACTACCGAAAGATTAAAAAAAAACAAATACGTTAAAAGTTTTAAGTATCAAACAAAAGTCAAGAGAAATTAAGAAAATCCTAAAAAGTGTTGGGTGTGGGCCAGCCCACTTATGCAAAAGCTTGAGGGCTTCTCATGCTTAAATACACAGAGCAGCCGCACGAGGAATCAATTGCTTCGGTCCTTGCGTGAGAGAAAAAGAGGGATACGGGGCAGGAGCGGTCATCAGGCCGACCGCTCCTGAACGGTCTCCTCACAAAACCCAAATGTGAGGTGAGAAATATTCCACGTCAGGAAGCCTTCAACAGGTTCCAAAAACGATGCCGTTTCAAAAAAAAATGTTTAGCCAAAACGGGAACATGACGGACCAAACGGAAGAGTTTCAATTTTGAAAATCAAGTTAAAAATTTGAATCAGCCGCACAAAACAAAATCGAGGGAAGAGAGGAGGCGTCCTACTGAAAGTAGCAATTGACAGAAAAGTGGGTGGAGAGAGCTGAGGTATGGTGTTGAGTGAATAAGGAAGAAAGCAAACAGAAAAGTGGAGAGCCGCACAAAACATAACTAAGGGAAGAGACGAGGAGTCCTGCTGAAGGTAGCAAATTGACAGAAAAATGGGTGGAGCGAGCCAGGGTATGGTGTTGAGTGAATAAGGAAGAAAACAAACAGAAATGTAGAGAGCCGCACAAAACAAAACTGAGGGAAGAGAGGAGGCGTCTTGCTGAAGGTAGCAATTGACAGAAAAGTGGGTGGAGAGAGCTGGGGTATGATGTTGAGTGAATATGGAAGAAAGCAAACAGTGCAGTGAGAGTGTTGTATGCATTTTGAAGTTGGGTATGAGAGTGTTGTATCCATTTTGAATGTGTGTAAGGAAAGCGGCAAGGTAGAAGCAAACAGAGGAAATTCATCATCTCACGAATCTAGATTTTGTCGTGCAACTTAATAGCAGAAGCAACTGCGCTCTCCGAATTCGGTGAAACATAAAGCATATGGTTAAGACCAAGGTAACGTGACTGAATATAGTGTGTTAAATGAGTAATATGTAGTTGGTCCATACTCATCATGCAATATTAGTTTGTCTCTCTCCTGACCATGTAGTATGTATAAAATGGAGGCGTAGAGTTGATTGAGGTGAAGCAGAGGAAAAGACATATATGTAAATAATAAAAGAATATACCTGGTGTTGTAAGTTAATTACATGATGTAAGAAATATATTACAATGAGTAGAAAATGTTTGTTTGGTCCTCAAAATGTAGAAATAGTAGAAAATGCACAGTTGGCTTAGGCGGTTATCATTAACGAATGACATAAGATCTAGTAAACTAAAGAACTTAGAACCTAAATATAATCAGTAGAGTGGATGTACATACAGTTAAAATAGACTTACATCGTGTGACCAATACATTACAATCCGTATAACTTAGTATACATGGAGTTCTATTAGTACATAGATAATGTCGTTGTTTTAGAGTAAAAGTAAGGTGATGTGATTCATTAATCGTATTGACAAGTATAATAATAGGATTTGGTATACGAGTAATATGTGATTTATAACACACTCTGAATGGTAATATATATTTATCTTGTCATTTATGTACATACAATTCATGAAATGTTACAAATTATGGTGTTTGATGCATAATTGGTAGGAGCAAAAGTAATGGATTGCAGCAAGTTGACAGAAAATAGGATTCTTGAGTTAGGAATGGAGTTCAACAGTGAAAAGGATGACTACAAGTTTTACAATAAATATGCCTTTAAAATGAGTTCTAGTGTACGTAAAGATTATCTGAATAAAGACAAAGACGACGTGATCACGTTTAGGAGATATAGTTGCTGCAAGAAAGGTGTGAAGTGCAAATATGAAGGTGATGTGATGCCAAAAAGGACACGAGCGCCGACGAAAACAGGGTGTAGAGCTAAAATAGTTATCGTGTTGCTTAGAGGGACAATGAAGTACCATGTGCATTACCCTGTCTTAGAATATAACCATGAGCTGCACATTGCTCAATGTTCGCATATGATGCCATCACAAAGAAAAGTGAGTGAGACTCAAGAATTCCAAGTTGAAATAAGTGAGGATGCTGGGTTTTCATTAAAACAGAGCCACGAGCTAATGGGAAAGGAGGCAGGTTTTGGATGAGTAATGTAGGATATACACGGGATGTTAATATTTATGCTACAACAATGTTATCGTTATACAGTTAACTAATCCATAAGTACCATTCACTATAAAATAACATTATTGTCGTGTCAATAATACAAGTCTCAGAATCGGAGCCGACATCGGTTTCATTTTATGAACACATGTTTATTGGATACCGTTCATCAACTGACTCAGTTTCGGTTAGTATAAAATAGGCATGACTTTAACTTTTATTTGGATGTTTCTTACAGCACAATTAGTTATGATGATGTTACATTGTGTGATGATTTTGTTACAACTAACATCCCTTCTGATATTCCCTTTTTG